CACCCAGGCACCCTGGCATGTTACGTTTTTGAGAGGCTTTTTAGACACCTGAATGGAGATGCTAAGCTGCATTGGATATATAGTCTGGGAAATTAGGAGAGAAATCCAGGCTGTTCATATAAATTTGGGAGTCATTGGCTTATAGGTAATATTTAATGAGCTTATCTAGGAAGTGAAGGGTGGAAACAGGAATCAAAATTATATTATAACATGATCATAGCCATTATAAATGGATAATGTCAGAAGAAAATGTACAAAAGAGAATTCGGTAGAATTTATGAGCAGGTGGTCTTTTTTCCCCTTTATTTCTACTCTTTTTTTGTATTGTCCCTGTTTTTTTCCTTCTTTTTAGTGAACCTGTATTTTTTTTTAAGATTTTATTCATTTATTTGAGAGAGAGAAAGAGAACAAGCAGGGAGTGTGGCAGGCAGAGGGAGAGAGAGAAGCAAGCTTCCCACTGAGCAGGGAACCTGATGCGGGGCTCGACCCCAGGACCCTAGGCTCCATCCCAGGACCCTTGGATCATAACCTGAGCAGAAGGCAGATGCTTAACTGACTGAGCCACCCAGGCACCCATAGTGAGCCTGTATTTTTAAGGTGAGCTATAATTTGGCAGGGGTGATGGTGGTGGTGATGTTCTTACTTTTCATTATGGAAAGAACTTACATAAAGTTGAACTGAATAGTGTAATGAACTGCCATATACCGATTCCTCAGTTCCAATAACAACACACAGCCAGTCCTTTTTGATTTATAGTCCCATCCACCTTCCTCCCTATATTATTTTGAAGAATACCGAACATCACGATATTTCACTGTATTTTAGTTAAGTGTCTCTAGGACTGTTTAAAAAATTAAACATATTTGTAAATTATACAAATATCAAATTATCATGTTGTGTACTGGAAACTGGTGTTATATGCTAATTATATCTCAATAAAAAATTATACATGGCTACACCATTATCACACTTCAAAAGTTAGTAATTTCTTAATGCCACTAAAGAAAGCATTTAAATTTCCAGTTGTATCATAAATGAGTAAAAACATTTTTCTTCCATTTTTAAATTTCTTTGATTCAAGGGCCACACATTGTGATTGGCTGGTATCTCCTAAGTCCCCCTCATTCCATCACTTTTCCCCCTTGCAACTTACTGAAAGAACAATATGCCAAATCGCATGCCTTCGGTGTCATGCATCATGATCTCTGTTCCATTTCCTGTAAATTGGTACATGTTCGATCAGATCTAGGTTTGGTTCTTTTCTGGAAAAAAATATGGTATGTTCCTCAATCAGAAAGCATGTGATGTTAAGAATGTGTCTGTGTATTTTTAGCAGCTGACCTAGGCATGAATAATGCCTATTACTCCCATCAATTCATTAGAAGTTGCAAAACGGAGATATTGTAATTTTGCCGCTCCTTTTTCACTTATTAGCTGGAATGCTTTTTCAGAGAGAATGTATCCCTCATTTACTACTTACCTACCCAGCGATAGTTTGTATGAGAACCATAGGAAATATTGATTCTTTTCTATTTACCAATTTTTAAAACAATGAGTTAGCTCACTAGCATCCTCTAATGGTGAGCAATTAGTGCTTTGTTTCTCATGTGGTGTATATGACTATTTAGTATCATTTTGAACTCATGTATTTATAACATATTCAATGTTTCAACCCATTGCAGTTACGATTTTCTATACTGATGTTCCAGTTGTGCAATCTTCCAATTGCCTTATGAGTCTTTTTGAGAGCATACTCAATAGTCCTTGATAGCTTTCTTACTATATGGCATGATAACATGGTGCATACTTTTCCCGCTAAATAGGTCTATTTATTTCTTAGATAAAATATCTCGAGTTTATACTGATAATTCTAATTAAAAACAGGACACAGATTTTGCTAAACCTATCTCTTTTCTCTTTAGCCAAGAATCCCAGGCCTGAGAGACAAATGGAATAATAGAATATCACGTAATTATTTACTTGCTTTATCCCACAAAATTTTATCCCACACCATAATTTCAGAATAACAATACTGACACTGCCACCAACACTATGACTGTTGTCAACAGTATAAAATTATTTTTGCAGTGTTTTTTTTTTTTTTTACCTTAGAACATATCCCACTAAGGAGGTACAAGTTACTGCTTTTTATGGCAATTCGAAGAACCCTCTGTGTGGTTATGGCACCAATTGGCTATATACTTAAGTATATGCGTTTCATTTTTTTTTTTTTTTAAGACTTTTGCTTCATGAGTGAAGGGGAGTGGGAGATAAGAGTTTCCAGTTATGGAATGAGTAAGTTATGTGAATAAGTCACAGCATAAGGAATATAGTCAATGATACTGTAACAGTGTTGTATGGTGACAGATGGTAGCTACACTTGCGGTGAGGATAGACAGCATGATGCATAAACTTGTCAAGTCACTATGCCATATACCTGAAACTAACGTAACATTGTGTCTACTCAAGTAAAAAAAATTAAAAGACTTTCATAATTTTGTAAAAATATCTCAATGACTCCAAAGTCAAATCAATAAAACATGTGTTCAAAAAACTCTGATTTCTAACAGTGTCCCCTCCAACATATTTTCTCCCCCACCCCTTATTGGTAACCATTTTTAAACAATTAGGGTTAAGCCTTCAGTTTTTAAAAAATATAAGCAGATACTTTTTGTGTATGTATGTGGGTGTTAGCCCTACCCTTAACATGCTACAGCATACTTTCTTCTCCTTCGCTTTTCTCGCTTCAACAACGTAGTGTGAGTGCTGGCTGAGTAAATTCTACGGCTACACAGATTCCACTGTAGCTGTCCCAAAGTTTTTTGACCAACCCCTTAATTTCGACTCTTCTGTTTCTGCTATTGCAGGTAATTTTGAGTTGTGCGTATGTCTTTTCATTTTTCTAAGAGTGTGTTTGAGACAGATTCCTAGAAATTGGATTGCTAGATCAAAGCATAAATGTATATGTAATGCTGCCAGTTATTAAAACTCAGGATTAAAATAGGACTATTTTGCAATGGCCACCAGGAATGTCAGAGAGTGTCTGTTTCCTCACAACGGTGTCTTTATGTTGTCAGATTTGGAATACTGAAAACCTATAGGTGAGAAATGGTTAACTCCATATACTTAATTTTTTAATTTTCTTTTTTATTACGAGTAAGGTCATTTTTTCACGTAAAAATCATCTGCATTTTCCCTGTGAACGGTCTACTCATTCCTCAGCCCAGTTTCTATACAGTTGTTGGTTTTTTTCCTTATTTTAGAAACAATTCAATCATTTTAGTCAAAATACAGTTTTCAACCCTCTAATCATATAACTTCTCAGACCACATTTTTCTTGAAAAGTGGTGACTAGCACAACAATTCCAAATTCAGTCATAGCAGTAACAAACATGAGCATCAGACCAGTGGGCTTGTCATCCACTATCCCTCTGTCAATTAAAAAACAAATTCTGCACCTTCTATGCCAAGACATTGTTCAGAAGTGAAGTTTTTCTCTGCCCATACGCTTGTCCTATCCAACTGACATCCAACTGATGATTCTCATCGTCCTCAACTTCTTGGCTATGTCTGAGAGGACAACTATACACACACCTCCTTAATACTGATTTTGTGTGGCAAATTGTCTAGGTACAAGTCACTTCAACCAAGCTACCTCAATTTCCTTTTGGAAAATGGCAGGGCATTAATAAAAGTCAATACTCAAGTCATTTGCCACTTCCCACTCCATTTCCTTGGCTACAAAATAAAGCAGTTGGAGAAAATGATACGTAACGATCTTCTTGACATGTTCAATTATCTGGTCTTACGTCATTTCCTTTTCAAAACTCCAGGAGACTACCCAAACTGCCTTTAAAATGTAGCTCCAAATAATTTTTCTAAGTTCACTCCCCAGTTCTCCTCAAAATATCCTCTACTCATTAGCCCTTCAATATTTCGTGCCTTTTTTTATATTCCACTTGTTCTCAGTGTGTGCCCTCTGGGCCAGATGCATTAGCATTACCTGGGAACTTAGAAATGCAAATTCTTGGGACCATCCCAGATTCATGGACTCAAGAAATTAGGGCAGAGGCCCAGCCACATGTGCCTCACGAGGTCCCCCATCCTGCCCTGTGACTGATGCATGCTCAAGTTTGAGAAAGCAATGACTTAGACTAACCTTTCCCACAATTCTTAGAATTCCCTTGCTAAAAGCTATTAGCTTCTTATTGCACTTCCTAATACCAAAGCTCCAGATATCTTTTCACGTATATGGTCTCCCCAACTAGACTATAAAGGCCTATGAATCAGGTCTTTATTTTATCAAACAACATGGTTTTAGTCACGTTCCAAAGTTCGCAAAAACATAACTACATCTAGCTTGATTTGCTTTACTGTTGCTTTGAAATATCTCAATAGCTCAATAACCTGTTTCATGAAAGCAGTCTTAATGAACATGTCACAAAACTGAATGTGTTTGCCTCAGCCAGTTCTCTTCAATCTGTTAATTTTAAAGCCTCATACTGGGAAAATGTAGATGAAGCTTATGGTAGGCTCAGTAATGGTCCCCCAACAAGTCCACGTTCTTATCTCTGTGAAGAGGTTACCTTATGTGACAATAGGGAGTTTGCAGATGTGACTAAGAATTTGAGATATGAAGACTCCTGATGATCCAGGTTGGCCCAGTGATGGGAGCAGAAGGAAATACCATGACCAAAGAGAGAAGACCACATGATAACAGAGCTAGAGATTTGAAGATGCTACATTTTTTAGCTCTGAAGATGGAGGAAGGGGCAGAGCTAACGAATGCAAGGAATGCAGCTCCACAAGCTGAAAAAGGCATGAAAACATATTCTCCCCTAGTGCATCCAGAAGGAACCAGCTCTGCTGACACTTGACATTAGTCTAGTAATACTGATTTTGGACTTCTGGCCTCCAGAACTGTCAGGGAATTAATCTTTGCTGTTTTAAGCCACTAAGCTTGTGGTAATTTGTTGCAGAAGCAACAGGAAACTAATACAAAACTTTTGACAAGTTTTTATTGTGAAATATTGGATTTAGAAAAAAGTACAAAATGTCAACAGTCAGATGTGTACAAGTACAGTATTTCAATAGTCTATACATGTGAACAGCTTATCAGGTTCACCAGAGAATGCATATTTAGACCAATACAATCTAAAGAGAACTGCAATATTCACAGGCTATTAATACATAAATAACTTGGGCCAAAATGACCCTCACTGGTAAATGCTAATTAATAGCTGAAAACGGGCTAAAAAGCACAATACGGCACACCATAGTATCTCCTTACAGGTCCACATTTAAAGAATATCAGCTCATTTTGTCAATACACTACAGATCCAGGACTGGGACTCAAGTACTAGTTTATACAATTGCAAAAAAATTAAGTTATAAAATAAGGTCATGGAATAAAGAGAGGGCATTTAATTAGGACTAAATACTGTGAAGCCCCTAAAAAGTTTTAGCCTTGGAATTTACAAAGCTTAATTACTGAGACTGATTTTCAATTTTTAATCTGTTTCCTAAAAAAGGGGGAAGGGGCACCTTGGTTTTTAGTAGCAGCTCCAACATGTTATAAGAACTATTACACAGTTTATTTTAAAACCATAATGAGCACTGTGGATTGATAAATGGCTATGAAACCAGAATATAAAACATTATAAATTTTAAAGAAAGATAATGACTATCTTACGAATTTAGCAAATCCCACAAACATTAAAATCTGTGTTAAGAAGGCATTATCTCTCATTGTTGAGAGTACTAAATTTAGGAAGATTATTGCATGAAGAGCTCATAAAAATAAACTGGTTTAATTTTTCCAAGTCAAGTCTGACTGATTCAATCTTTTGCTATATTACTTCAAAATTACCCTAGATAATGTTCTCAAATTGGACAAAGAATTATTTGATATCAACATATAATGAAAAGCTGCAGGAATCATCTCCTGAAACATCGGTTATGTTAAAAACAATTATTGTAATCATCCTGTGTTCTGAGGAAAGATGATCTTTGACCTGACATTCATAAACATTGTTTAAAAACTTAAAAACTAATACATTTAATAACAGTTTACTTAAAACAAATTTATCCTTGCCCATAAATTCCTAAGAGAAGGAACTCTCTTCCACTCTCTCCAGTATATCTAGCAATGCCTGATGCTTTACAACTGAACTAATAGTCTGAACTGGCATTTATTAAGGAGATTAATTCCATTAAAGGCTGAAAAACCACTGGATCAGAAAATAATTAGTCAATAACTTTACATAACCTATCCCAACCTACCTTAACCTTTATAGACAATTTTAAAGACTCTGATATAATTTTCTTATAAATAGTGCCTGTATCTTATAGTAGATTCCAATTTATTCAAAGATACTCATGGATTGATTTAAGTTATTTAAATTTTTCCAGATTTGCTTTAAACTTACAAATCAAATATGGTGTACATAAATATTAACTTAGATAAAAGGCAGATATATGGACCACTGCAGGAAATTATAAATTTTCAAAAGCTTTTATAAAAGAAAAATAAAGCAGAACATGTAACTCAAGAAATATGAACATGAAGCCATATGACATAAAAAATAAAATTACTCTATCAGAAATGATTTAAAATTAAATCTTTGGGGGGTGTATTTTTACATAATTCAATGAATTCAGTGACCAACAGCTTCTCATATCACACAGAAACAAACCACAAAATCATCTAGAGTCTATATGCATCATCAGTTCTTAATGCGATCTCAAACATTTTACTAACAACTCTGATTTCCTTTTGAAATAGGCTTCTGTACATATGCATTTATATACAAACATTTATTAAACATGATTTTAAAACAAACTGTATGTACAAAAGATCAGCATTCCTATAAATAAAAACATTAGGTGGCAAAAAGGCACTTGTAAGTAAAAATCTACAGTAGTTTGTACAAAACAGAACACATTTTACCTTGGATACTGTACAATAAACATTAATTCTTATACCAATAATGAAAATACTAGTTTACTAACTAATGTTAATGATGTAACTTTTAAAAACATATTTACATATACTCTGAAGTTCATTTAATAAAAGCACCATGATTTTCTCCTAAATTCATGTTGATGCAAAGTAAAAACACAATTACCAAAAAAACCAGTGTTTACCATTTTCTTTGTTTAAAAGTTTTTGTATTTCTAAAGTGAAAACTGTTTATCTGAAATCAACATAGTGTAAAACAAAAAACAAAACAAACCGAAAGCCCTGCTGCTCTGACTTCTGAACACCGTCACCTACTCTATTATTGCATGTTGCATTTTATAAAGAGCACGACTCATGCACTCCTTTACAAGTGTTTAATACTATTGCTGGCAAAAAAGTTCCTGGATAGCAAATCATTAAAAAGTAACTTCAAGCCAGTTGAAGTTTTATTTGAACGTTTTACAACTTAAAAAATGCTGTATATCAGTTACAAAAGTGAATAGGAAACACGCCAATTCATCTGGTGTGCAAAAATATTTCTCCACTACACAGAATTTAAGGGCTTCACAGAATTTTTCTCAAATTTACATTTTCAGCAGAAACACTACATGAATAACTACTTTCTCAAGGGGACGTTAGTATGCTTCCACTTTTGTCAAACTTTTTACCCTTTGACAATGCTGCGACCTGTTTGAGTAGTTCTCTGTTTTTGGCCTGTGGGAGACAAAAACATTTAAGGTGAAAAATGCTTGAAATATTAAGTCATGTTGAAGAATACTACTTATTTAATGCTGTTCTTTTCACTTGTACAACAAGATTTCATTGAAACACTAAGACCAGATCAAAGAGTTGGTATATTAAGGTTCATCTCTTTAATGCTGGATATTGGAGAAGGAATATTCTAGATTGGTTTATCAGCCCCTTTTGTAAATGTTGATATAATTTAACTATTGTTCAAAGATACAATCAGTTAGAAAAAAGGCAACTTAGGCAATCCATTTGAGAGGGTCAAATTTTAAATAAGGAAAAAAGGTCTGGCTCTTTAACTTAAAAACATAAAATGAAAACTATGAAAATAAATTTTATAATTAATGACTCAAGTAATGATTTGGGAGGAATACTGCCCAACAAACTGTACAAAGTGTTCCATTTGATGTTTACCTATTTATAGAATAAGCAAAAGAGGTCCGTTTTGCAAAAATATTCACACTTTATCACTTTGCCAAAGGGACCCTCTCTCAACTTAATGCTATTCAACTAATTTTTTTTGAAGTATCCATCAGAAATGCCCTCTCTGATCTCATTTTTGTTTCTTTAATTGCCATAACAGTAATTAGGTACTGGCTTTGATGTAATTTGAACATCTATACATCATCGTTTTCAGATCTGTGAAAGGATGAAATTATTTTTCAAAGACTCCAAATTTCACTTTGCCATTGCTCTGAACTGAATGTGCCCTTCATTCAAATGTTCTACCCGCCAAAGACACTGTCCTTGAGCCAAAGCACTATAACAATCACCAGTGTTTAGTGAAGAGGAATGTGTAAAGAGGGACCTTCAAGTGAATACTCTCATATTTTGACTGCCTTTGTCTCCCTATGTGATCTCTTAACTGTGGAAACACAGGTAATAAGAACCCTCCATATATACAAATACATTAATGATCAAACACTTTTGGAGTTTTTGAGCCAAAATGAGGAGAGTGTTGACAACAGACTAGAATCTGAGTGCTGCCCTAAAAGCAACAAAATTTTTCCTCTGGTTTACGTAGGAAAACCATTTATTTTCCTTCACAAGTCTCAAGATTTTTTATTATCTAGATAATACTTTTTTTTTTAACCTCAGGGCTTCATCTTCTACTCTAATTTTGGCCTTTGTATGGCAAGATAACACCCTGCCTTCTCTGTACACCATCTTAAACCAGTTTCGTGAAACATAACCTTTTCCAAAGCTTTGTATTTCCACTCCACCTTTCTTAAACCAAACTCTCCCCAATTAATACCCATTACCTCCTAAATGCAAATATTCTTAGAACGATTTCATATTTGCAAACCTAACCATTTTTATGTTCGAATGCCTGACAGAATTTCTCTCTATTCAATAGTTGTTAAATAAGGTGGTAATTAAAAGTTTCAATTTCAGGGGCGCTTGGATGGCTCAGTTGGTTAAGTGTCTGACTCTTAATTTCAGCTCAGGTCATGATCTCAGGGTCGTGAGATCGAGCCCCATGATGGACTCTGCACTGGGCATGGAGCCTGCTTAAGGTTCTTTCCCTCTCCCTCCATTCCTCTGCCCTCAGCCCTCTAAAAAAAAAAAAGTTTTAATTTCAAATCCAATTTCAATTTTAAATCTAGAAAAATCACGAAGAATTTCATAGGATTTTGTTTTCCCTTTAAAATTAAACAGCTTGAGAAACTCAGAAGACAAATAAGGAGAATTCCGGGTAGTTAGCAGTAAGTCAAGTGAGTACACTTAATGATCAACTGGTTTATTTCTCAGCTGACCAGTCCTAGTCAGTGTAATAGTTTTAAATTGTTTTCTTTTTATTGTTAGCCACATTATTTAATTTGTAAATACAATAGATTCTCTTTGCCAAAAACAGAAATCTTAACAGAATTTTTAAAATACAGATTAATGAAGGGCATAAAAAAATGGTATGTTTGCAAATGTGCCTCAAAGAGCTTGCCATCAGATCTCTAAGTTATATTTATCCAAAACCTTTTATGTACTGACAATATTCAAATTATCTTTTCTTAGTCATCAATAAGAAGCAAACACAAAAATCAAAGAGTTTGTAATTTTCACATTCTAAATACGAAACACAAGAATTCAAACATTAGGTGTTGAAAGCAGTTTTCCCTTTTAATTTTTTAGCAGCTAATTTTCAATTTGCATTTATATATTCGGTCTCCTAATTGCAACACTAATAAATCTATTTACTGATAAATTATGTAAGAAAAAACCCTTAAGAAAAATTAACAATTTATCAGTTGTTAAATGCAGATAAGTCCAAATGTGTCTTATTCTAATTTAGGTACATTAAAAATGTATTTTACAATGCAATACTTAAATATGTATGCATTTAAAATTTTTATCCTAATGTTACTTCTTTATTATGTACCCTGCAAAAAAAATCAAAAAATTTAAAATTCTTAACAAGTTAAGCTAAAAATGTTTAGAAATAGTGGCCTAAAGGAAAGACTATCTGGAGTAACACAGATCCTGCTGTGTAACCTGGAGTCTATTTTCTCATACGTAAGACAGAAACCTCACCACCACCTCAAGAGGAGTTGAAAGAACTAATCAAATATATAAAACACTTAGCCTAACACAGAGGCTGATACACAGAGGCACTCAAACCTTAATCCCCTTTCCCCCTTCATTAACTTCACTCCTAAACAAAAAGTAGATTTTTTATTTGGTATTCTGCTAGGACAACTTAGGTTGTTTGTTTACTTTGGTATTTTGCACAATTTTTTCTTGTGATGCTCCCTGCTTATTTCCCAGGTTTAATAGTTTAAAATGTTTTGAGAACTATTAGAACATAGTAAATTTTCTGCTACAGGATTGTTACAACAAAAAGGTAAGAAAAATAGTTAATTCTGTTTACTCAACTAAATGGAAAACCCTACTAGTACATGGCTGCTGTAGGGACTACAGTTAAAAGAGAGTACACAACTGTAACAGAATGTTTCTAGCAATTAACACAAAAGATATAGGAAGTGGTCAGATAACAAGGAACAGAAACCTGAGTGACCTGAGGTGGTGGGAACACAAGAGAAAGTACAGTTTAATCTGAGTCACAAGATGTAGGTTTCTATGTCAGTTCTAATTAATTATGTGACCACCATTTCATCTGTAAAGTGGGAACTCAGTTATTATAAAAAGCAAGTAAGACAGCCTATGTAAAATCATGTTAGAAATGTCATACTTCTATCTAAACATTAGTTGCTATTCTATTACAGTTCAGCTACTGACCAAGAAGAGTTACTAGGCTTAAGATACCAATCAGGCTAAGATGTCAAAGAGAAGGTCCCCTCTGTTTACAACAACAAAATAAAACAACAAACTGCTCTTTTGGACAGTGAGTTGTACTAAATTTTATCATAAATTTAAGTATTGCTCACAGTTTTTCTGTTACCTCAATTCTGGATTTACTCCAGAGTTTTGGTTACACCACTTTAAATCAGAGATCATCATGCAGAAGATTCTGTTGCCAGGTAATCATTCAGCAGTAATAACTGAATGAGAAAAATAAGAAAATCATAAACCAAATGTATACTGGTGGATAATGTCCAAAAACCCAATTATATGGGCAATTTCTCAACAGAAGGCAGATGGACATTTCCATAAATCATTCATTCAACAAATTATTTGAGTGCCTACCATGTGCCAGGTTCTACACAAAGTTTCTCTTTAAAACTCTTTGTAAGACTAATGTTAAGACTAGGGCTGTAACTGAAATTCAGGTTCCTAAATTCATTTTACAATTTCATGCAATTTAAGCCACCTTCAAAGAAGTATGAGGAATACAAACCAAAAGGCAGGACTAGCACATATACCCTGGTTTTACAATGAAAAAAACAAAAACAAAAAAAACCTCAGGGCAGTATTACTCTCTTCCTTTCCAAGCTGCACCCTCCCATGAAGTCTAAACTCTATGTGCTGACATGCATCCTCTTTGCTTTTAAGACTTAAAACTACTAAAGTTTAAAAACCCTGTTACCCAAAGATTAATTCCTCAGATGTCAGAATGTATAAATCGACAGAACATGTAATTAATTTAATGTGGTCTGATTTCTAAATTTATGAAACTGAGGTGAGAAAAGGCTTAAATAAGGGAGTAATGTCTATCCCTGCTGGATGCTCTCCATCTCCGCATGCCGGACATCAGATACTACCCTCTCTGTCACTATGGTGACTCTTGGCTTCACCATTCAGTTGTTCTGTATATTGAAATCCTCCTGAATATACCTTGCAGTAATCTTGGGAGGCTGGCCTTGGCCTTGATCACTAGAGGCTCCCTGCTGCAGCACACAGAATCCTATTTGGCACCTTAAAAATCACAGTACAAAGGTTAAAGTGCACTCCTTTGCCTTTCATCACTGCACGTAGCATAAATTTCCTCCACTTGAGGCCCCTAAGAATTGGTTTTGTACACCCACCTCCCTTCCCATTATCTGGGCAGAAACACGAAGAATGATTGCACAATGTACTAAAGACCTTATTTTCACCTTAGTTTCATGAATCCGATCTTTAATTTTTTGTTTTTCACGCAATGATCAATTGAACATACTCCACTGGTATCCTCCTCTAAAAACCCCGTAACGAGTCTAAGCAAAAGTTTTCAGAATTAATATACTGAATCCCCTTATCAAGTGATTTCAAGCAGTAACTTTTAATGGGAGCAGGATTAAGAACTGGTAGAAAGTCAAAATCAGGGGCGCCTGGGTGGCTCGGTCGGTTAAGTGTCTGCCTCCAGCTCAGGTCATGATCTCAGGGTCCTGGGATCCTGTGACAGGCTCCCCACTAAGCAGAGCGTCTGCTTCTCACCCTCCCCTCTACTCCTGCTCTTGCTCACTCTCTCTCTCAAATGAATAAATAAAAATCTTTAAAAAGTCAAAATTGAAGCTGAAAATGCACCAAATACACATAAAATTTAGGGATACCAATACCAGTCTAAGACAGTATTATTAACAATTAAGCAAGGTCAGCCCTCCTTGCCTAACAGTTCATATAAATAATGTCATTTACCTGAAGTTGTTCCACAGTTTCTTTGTGAGCTTTTTCCATACTGTTCATCTTTGTTCTCAAATTTGACTCTTGGTACTGAAAGTCTGCCTTTAGTTCAGTTAACTGAGAAACAGATAAACAAGCATATAAATTTATATATGCTCATGTGTAAAAATATATATATGCACACATCATTTTAAACATTCATTGTAAATTCACAACACGTTATAGAAGTGGAAGATGTCAGCAGTTTCCTAAGTTTTATAACTTATTTAGAATTTGTTTTGTGAAATGAAATTCTATTTTATTATAGTATATTTTAAAGTTAAGATAACACTGAACTGTCAGTAAAACTTTTGAGAAGATGCCTTTTTCTGTTTCAATTTAAAGATGGCTTCACTGGACACAGAGTTTGGCAACTGGAATGCCAACAGGAAAGTTTAATGGCTCATATTGGGGAAAAATGCTTCAATTACAACATACTTCACATTATATATAAACAAAGTAAATGTTAAAAATGGTGTCAGGTTAAAATAATCTTTCAATGACAAAAGAAGAAAATTTCACACTGGACAAGTACAAAAAGGAGTGGTTTTATCAACTATGAGCTATACTGCCTTTTACTTTAAAATTTACATCCGGAATTATGTATCTAATACCACCTAAGGCTTGAGGTAAAATGGAGAACAAAGCACAGAAATACAACATGGAATAAGAAAGTTAATTTAAAATTTTTGCTAACTTAGACAAATGTAAGAAAAAAAAATCAGTGGTTTGAGGAAGCTACATTTTCTTCTTAAATATCAATGACATACATAAAAATACATAATCCTTATGACCTTGACCTAAAAAATAAGTTGGTATTATATAATTTCATTATCAGAACCATGAAGAAGAAAGCTTCTGGTTATTTTTAAATGGTTTCCATTATATATAAACTTTAAAGGTTTGCACGTTCTTTTTTTTTTGTATAGATATATAACAGCAAAGAGAGAAAGGAAGTCATGGTGTATTATATTCTTACTGTCTGAATAAAAGCCCTTGCTTTTGCCAAATTCAAAGAATAACTGAATTCTCTGTTTACTAAATTACAAAGGAATTCCTGTTCTGAAATGTCAATTCACATCAGATCAGCTAAGATAATTATTCTTGTCACTCCACTGTGTGTTGCCTTCAGATTATGAATTTCTGGAAGATAAGGATCATGTCCAATTTATTTATTCATTTTTGTATCCTCATGATCACTAGAGGATACATGGCTGGCTCTAGAAGTCATTGAATAAAGTGAAATAAATTTAAGAAAATATCTTGGTTGCCTTAGATTTACATTATAAGAAAAAAGAGCAAATACGTAGCAAAATATTTTAGGCTCAGAATTATTATTTTCCTTACAACACTGCCTATTTCCATTCCCATTATTTTTTTTTTAAAGGAACACTAACAAAAGCAGAAAACTTTCACAAACTGCACTAACACAGAAGAGTCATGCTATGAAAAAAAAAAATCTAATAGAAAAGTCAAAATTCCACAATGCATTACTACTTGTTTTTGGAATTGTTACTTTATAGCAAATTTACTATTTTATTCAACTTTTACCTAGATTACTTAGGTTAATATAGATAAATCTTTGTGCACAGAAATGTCTTTAAAATTTTGTGCATAAAACAAATTTCCATAAAAGTTCATTAATTCAAAAAATTCTGTTAATCAAAAAGAACCATAAAAAGACACTCCTAACTAACCTATTCTTATGTCAATCCTAAATTTCATATACTGAATTTGCTTAAACTAAGATACAAATATATTAAATTTAAATCCACTAACCATCAAGGCACAGGAAAATTTAACACAAAAGTTGTTAAATGCCAAGCTCAGATTCAAGCACCACTACAGATACTCAGAAATACAAATAATTCATACACATATTTATAATTAAGTCTTATTCATAATTTTAAAAGGAATGTTTTTAATGTTCTCCTATTGCATAAGGCATTTGAAGTAAGTCAAACTTACAGAATAGTCTACAACTATAAACAAGTACAAAAGTTGGTTCTACGCTCAAAGATGACCCAACACGAGTAATAGCAGCTATGAGCATTTATACATGGCAGGAGCTGTAGTAAGTACTTTATATTTCCATTTAATCCTAACAACCATCTCCTGAGATGGTATTAATACTCTCATTTTTAAAAAACTGAGGACCAAAGATGTGAAACCATTCTGCTCAAGTTCACATAGAAAGTGTTGGAACTTTTCACTAAATTGACAATATATTTGATACTCCTAATCTAACTGACAAAGTCCTCAGAAGTACACTTAGTTCCTACAAAATGATCTTAGACACCTACTGCTAATCACCACACAGGACATTTCCATAGCACTACTTTTCACCAGTTATTTGATCTGGATTGAAATACACGATTGGTATGTCAAGGACTACACTCAACTACTTTCTCAGATCACAAGAATTTACATAATATTCCATTTACATGTCATTTCCAAATTAAGACATTAGGCTTACTTTTAAGCTACAGGTTACTGGAAGCTAATGTTCAAAACTTATAATTCTAACTAGCTCTCAGTTAATTCTTAGAACTAAAATTCTGAAAGACCTATTTCAGCCATAATTCATAAAATTATGAGTAAGACTTGATTATAAATATGTGTATGAATTATCTCTATCTCTGAATATCCATAGTGGTGCTTGAATTCACCATTTTCACCTAACTTCTTTAGACGGCTTATGTTCCAATTTGGTTTTTGTAATGTGTCTTGTAAGAATCATGCACAACATTACCAAATTATTAAAGTCTAATAAAATTTGCATTTTCAAGCAGAACTCAAGATGTAAATCTTACCAGGCTTCAGTGAACCATGTTCTTACCTTTTTATCTTTTTCTAAAATGGTCTGGTCTCTCTGCTGTAAGAGACGTTTAAGTGACATCACTTCTTCTTTCAGTTGACTTATAAGGACAAAATTGTCTGTTCCCCCACTATCTGCTGACTGATTTATAGAGCTACTAAAAAGAAAAAAGTAAAACACAGTTAAATGAAGTAGAAGGAAAATTAGCAGGTGTTCAAATTGCATAAATTAGACAATTCCACAAACATCCTTAAGGCTAATGCAAAAAAATATGTACCTGACAGAAATGGATGCAACTGGCAAATTACCTTACTAATGGCACACATTACATACACCTGCAGAAATATAATTCAGTATTAGCTTTTAGGGGGTCAATACTTCTAGTGTAAAGCAATAGGCAGCCAATTTGTACAGTAACATCAGCAAACTTTTGGCTAATGAACTAAAAACAAACTCACGCTCATAATACTTTAAATTTAAATACATTTTCCAAGCAGGTCAATTTAAAACATCACAATTAGATTTTTAGATCTGTGTTTCACTGAAGAATAATTAAGATCAAGAGAATGTTCTATTCAGATTTGTTCTCCTTTTTTCAAAACCCAATGTATTCCCCAAATAGAACAACAGTTCAGTGCCACTTGCTTATTGCCAAAATTAAGTTAAAAATTTTAACTAATTATGGTTACTTTTCTAGGTGACTCAAAAAAGTCAATGAAGAAGATACATGTTTCTATTCTTTTACCTAGTAATAACTGGCAATCAACTGTAACTGTTCAACTAACTTGAATTTTCGTAGCGCTAAAGGAATTCATTTTTACCTATCTCCATTAGATGGCTTAGATTCCAATTTGGGCTTTTTCTTTGGAGTTTCATTCTGAATTGCTGCAGAGGATTTATGGCTGAAACCAAACATTAATAAGAATAATTAGAGTAAAAAGGGCAGAGGCACCAAGTGATGTTATTCTTCTTCCCCTAAAATATTACCGAATATCATTGATTTTTTAAAAGCATAAGTAACAAAGTTAAAGGGATGTCACGTTAAAAAAAAAATATGCCTCAAAATGCTTCAGAAAATATGTTAACATATTTACCTCTGTTTCCACAGTCCCTGCTCTTGTTCTGGACTCAGATTGCTGATTCTGAAAAATATATAAATGACATCTAACAACAACATTTATTTAATACATCTATGCTTAACAACATTCTTCCTAATGGACTCAAATTACGTATGTTTAGAATCTTTTGTTCAGAGAATGCATATTCAATTAAGTTTTTGAACTAAAGCTAATCACATTCTGTTAAGTTCGATTCTAATAACTGGTAGTCAATTGCTACTAAGTTCTCTAACAAAGGTACAGTGACAGGGATTAAATTCTTTTTTTAATCATTTTCCAAAAGTCAATTTAATATCATACTAAAAGTTGGGGTATATAAGCATGAAAGTATGACAATCATCATACTTAGGGTGCCCTTACTATTTCAGACAAAAAATGTTCTATCTTTAAAGTTAAGGCCTTCCTAATAATTAATCCTATCTGGAGATTCCTCCTTTAGAGCAACTCAAGTTGCTCAGAATAGTGTGTCAAGTTCAACCAGGAAATATCTTAATTTGTTTCATTCCTAGTTTTCCTAAGAACCCTCTCCAAAGTCCCTAGATGTTTCTTCAGTTAGTACTGTGGAACAGACATACCGAAAATACTGGGAAATTTCATATTAAGAACTGATTTTACTTTTATTTATAATTAAATGCTGTATTACTAATTCTTTTCTATTATGCCATAACACTAATAATGACTTTATAATTCACTATGAATCAAGTTTTCTTGCAGTTGCATATCAGCCAATCCTGCATTAACCCCTAGTTTATTGACTCAACATGTATAGAGCATACCAGACGCCACATATTTTTACAATGTAAGATGTTAAAAAAACCTAGGCTGTGTGACCTTTTGCCAGTTACTTAAAATTCCTGAGCCTTAGTTCCCTCATCTGTGAAATGGGTATAATTTATACCTTATAGGGATATCAGACTTAAATGAGTTTATATAAAAACACTTCATACATTACTAGTGTATATACAATAAATAAAAACATGTACATATATTTGAGTATAAAATTTACTATTGCAGCTGTATAAGTTTTTCAAGCAAGAAAAAAAAAATCAGACCATGTTCTTAAAAATCAGCTGTAAATAAAATACTAAGTTGGGGAAAAATGCTGTAATTCCATAAACCGGAGTTATTATTTATTTGTGGCCATAAATGGCAACACTACTGAGGAATTCAGTTGCCCTTTCTTTTTACAAATTTCATCATAAGAATTAGCAAACCATATAATCACACATGAATTAACAGCACTATCCAGATCTCAAAGTAAGAACAATCACATTAGTAATGGCTTAACAAAAACACCTGGAATTCACATCCTTGCTTTCTGAGGTGGCCATTCCCGGATCCCGATTGACCTGCTTTTGCTCTCCTCTATCTCCACCCATCACTACATATCACAATATGTACATCCTCATAACTGTTCTAACCTACTAAACTTACAATAGAACCTCACAAACTGGTTGCCTACTCATTAAACGGTCTATATCCATCAAATACAAAACAGTATTTCTATTTCTTAAGCAACAAAAAGGAAAAAAAATTAAAGGTCAATACCATCCTTATTCCTTTTACTTTTGACACCTGTTTTTCTTTCTACAGATTAAGTTACTGTCATAGAATTTGATCTTTATAAACATACCCTGTGTCCTATCACACACTAAGAAAAATTTATCTATAAAGAACAGGGGAAAGGGACACTTCAGTTGAGTTTCAGGAGTAGGTCTGTTATAGTTACTTTGTCACAGTTTTTCTTAAAAAGGCAAAATCAAGAAAGATTTATGTTCCTTTGTTCCTTGGGATATTCTGACAGAGGCACCACAAGATTTCTTCAAAAGAGACAGATTAGAAGTCACAATGCACTCCACCACTGTGACATGCAGAAAGTACAACACCAGGGTAAGGCAAGTGAAAAAATTGCTAAGTAAACATCAGTACCTCGATAAAACTTCATAATATGTGCTTGCCTACAATTTAGAATCAAATTTTGTTAATTAGTACTACATTATATTCTAAAAATGTGTTCTTAAATGTTGTAGGCATCAATTTTCTATAAATGAAATTATGTTTTATCTACCTAGAACTTTAAAGACTCATAGAGAAATTCAGGAGAAAAACAAGTTCTTCTGAAAACTGGTTATCATGTCCCTGTTTTGTCCATTTTGTGTTTAATTTGTGCTTTAATATTCTTGATTTTTCCATGAAGACTAAAACCACAGTTCAAAAAACTTTATGCTACACACATATTACCACTATATAACTTTCTCCTCCCAAGGCACTTTAAAAATCAAGTAGTTGTTTATATTTGAATAGAATTCCTGCCTATGTGTTTTTAAAAAAGCAGCAAAGTACTGCTAATTTAAAAGATTATTTTCAGGGGCGCCTGGGTGGCTCAGTTGGTTAAGCGACTGCCTTCGGCTCAGGTCATGATCCTGGAGTCCTGGGATCGAGTCCCGCATCGGGCTCCCTGCTCTGCAGGGAGCCTGCTTCTCCCTCTGACCCTCCCCCCTCTCATGTGCTCTCTGTCTCTCTCATTCTCTCTGTCTCAAATAAATAAATAAAATCTTAAAAAAAAAAAGATTATTTTCACACTTTTGGAAACTTCAAGATTTAGAATGCTTCTATCATGATCACAAATGATAATCTCACAATCTGTTCTACAAAAACACTGAATGTACATATCCTAGTCACTGATAAATATAACTGCATAGGACTATAATTTGTATTTATAACTGTAAATACAATTTTTACACGTAAAATCCTAACAATTATTTAAACAAAAAAAGAATATTGAGGACTCTGATAACATAAACCTATGAAGTATTAATGCTGGTGTACCTGTATTTTTACTTCATATGATCAAAATTTTATGTAATTCCCTAAATGTACTATTCTTTATTTTTATGGTAAACAGCTTAACACACTCCAGGTATATAATTTTATACAGGCTTACCTCAAAGATACTGTGGGTTGGGTTCTAGACCATGCAATAAATACTGCAATAAAGCAAGTCAAATACATTTTTTGTTTCCCAGTGCACCTAACTTATGTGTATACCATACTATGGTCTATTAAGTGTGCAAGAGCATTACATACCTTAAAAAAGTAATTAAAAAATTGCTTAAAAATGCTAATGTCATCTGACCTTTCAGCAAGTCATGAATCACTGATCACAGATCACCATAACAGATTTAATAAGGAAAAAGTCTGAAATACTGTGAGAATCCAAAATGTGACACAGAAACATGAGTAAATGCTGTTGGAAATGGTGCCTACAGACTTGCTCAACGCGGGGTTACCCCAACCCCTCAATTTGTAAAAAAATGCAGTATCTGTGAAGCATAATAAAGCAAAAATGTGATAAAACAAGGTGTTCTATATACTGAATAAAGTAGGGAAAAGGCCCTAAACACTCAAGAAGCTTACCATGTACAACAGAAACTAGACTTGCACAAAAATAGTATTTGCAAAAAGTTAAACAGCAATACTTGGCATTAAATTGCCAAGAGGATTTTAGAAACCCTGCTTTCAAAGTACTTACTTGTGGTGACTACTGCTGTGACGATGGTGATGGTGATGATGGTGGTGGTGATGTTTTGAATGATGCTGGTCTTTCTCGGTAAGAGATGAAGAAGATGAGTTTGAATGTGAAGATCCCAGGCTCTTCCTTTGTTCTTTTGTCTTCTGTAAAACTCTCTTGTATGATAAAGTACAGAGCCAGCATAACAACTTTCCATCAACCTTTTTAAAGAAAATATTTGTATTAAATTAAATGTACCTATAAACTGAGTTTAAGTGAAAAATAAACTATTCAACTTCTAGCGTAGGCGCACACACACATGTGCGCTCTCTCTCACACACATGCACACATACACAGATCGTTGCAAAATGGTAATAAAATTAGACTATTATGAAACCTGGGAAAATGCTCATTTGGTATGTCATGAAATTGGTGAGGATGATCTATGGACTGCCATTAGTTTTGAGGCATTTTTTAATTTGGAGAGAAAAGTTTGTTTTCTTATTACTGGGAAATAAGCCTAAATTGACATACTTCAAAGAATCTTACTAAGCACCAGCCTGAATTCTTAAGTCACTGTGCAATTACTAAAATCACAAAGTAATTCCCACTACAGTGAAAACTGTTAGTTTATAGAAACAAGGAGACCTTGAATGACATATACATTTGATTCTCATTATTGGCAGGTTGCCCATTTGCAAATTCACCACCTACTTGCTAAAATTTATCTATAACCCCCAAATCAACTTGCAGTGCTTTCATGATCATTCACGAACACGCACACAGTAGCAAAAAATTTCTGTAGCCGGAGAGCAAACAATCCCTGCAGAAGTTTAACAAGGTGACACTCCGCGGTCGTCTTCTTTCCACTCTTACACCACAAACAAGTGTCCTTTTCACGGTCTATTTAGTGGCATGTTTTCTGCATCTGTGCTTTCTATTGATGATTCCACTGCTTATAATGGTCCCCAAGTGTAGTGCTGAAGTGATGTATAGTGTTCTTTAGCGCAAGAAGGCTGTGATATGCCTTATGTAAAAAATACGTATCTCGGATAAGTTCCGTCAGGCATATAGTGCTGTCAGCCATGACTTCAATGTGATCAAACAACAATTTATATTAAGATGTCTCTGATCAAAAGGAATGAGATCTTGCCATTTGCAACGACGTGGATGGAACTGGAGGATATTATGCTGAGTGAAATAAGTCAAGCAGAGAAAGACATGTATCATATGACCTCACTGATATGAGGAATTCTTAATCTCAGGAAACAAACTGAGGGTTGCTGGAGTAGGGGGTGGGGTGGGAGGGATGGGGTGACTGGGTGATAGACACTAGGGGGGGTATGTGCTCTGGTAAGCGCTGTGAATTGTGCAAGACTGTTGAATCTCAGATTTGTACCTCTGAAACAAATAATGCAATATATGTTAAGAAAAAAAAAAAAAAGAAGATAGCAGGAGGGGAAGAATGAAGGCGGGGAAATCGGAGGGGGAGACAAACCATGAGAGACTATGGACTCTAAGAAACAAACTGAGGGTTCTAGAGGGGAGGGGGGTGGGAGGATGGGTTAGCCTGGTGATGGGTATTAAAGAGGGCATGTTCTGCAAGGAGCACTGGGTGTTATGCACAAACAATGAATCATGGAACACTACATCTAAAACTAATGGTGGTATGGTATGGTGATTAACGTAACAATAAAAAATTTGAAAAAAAAGAAAAAAAAAGATGTCTCTGAAGAGAAACATCCACAAAACAAGATTAAGTATTGATCGAAAGATTACCATGTTGTGAACAGAGGCAAGAATCTAATCCTATACTGCCCTCTTAGAAGCAATAGTTCAATATTCACTAATTCAGTGTTCGCAGCAACTTTACAGAACCTATCTACCACGAATAATGAGGATCAACTGTACATGTGTCAAGGGTGAGGAAAGGAGACTTCTTTCCAAAATTAAGACAAAACCCTATAAAAATGAAATTAAATTTCTTTCTTCTACTTGTTCACACAAGAAGTGCTGGAGGGACAGGTCTTACAACTAGGGGACATATACTGCTGTGGAAGAACCTGGGGGAGCTTCTCAAAGAGAGAGTCATCCTCCAACTCAACTGAAACTGACAGACAACAGGAGGCCTATGTGAAGTGAATGCTGATCAGCAGAGGAATGCCACAGGCACACACACACTTTTTAAGTCACTGTACGTAGAGAAAAACAAACAATGGTTGAAAACATGAGCCCCAAGTCAAAAGGCACAAGATTAACTTTGAATTATACACGTTAATGTGCCATCAGGTATTTTTTCACACCAGCAACTTCAAGTAACCAGCAAAAGGGTAAGTAGCTGAAAGGATTTAAAAGCAGTTAGTAATTCTCCCGAACAAAATGTTAGATAACCAAATAGTACAGAACAGCTATCACAGAATATTTTTTTAAAATACAGTAATCTCAGCTGATCAACATAAATGTGTGATGCAAACAGAGAAAATGCACTGTTCCTGCACTTCCATCTAACCATTTTCAGGGATCCAAAGGATACATCATGTAGCAGTAGTGTATTCATTAAAATAACTCCCAATCTGTGTGTTTCAATTTCCAGAAGATATCATAATATAAATACCTTTCTTCTTCCTTCCTCCTTTCGATCAAAAGCACATTGTTGTTTGCACTGTTCACAGGTCTGAGGTGGTCCATATTTTTTTTCTGAATTTGTACAACGCTGACACTTTGTACCAATAAATGCTGCAATTATGTTACAGTACTGACAAGGCTTAGGCTGAAAAGCAGATATACATTTTAACTGAGACATTTAAAAATAAAAATTTGCCGCATAAAATATACACCTGTATACAGACATATTTCTGGAACTAATTAAGGAAACAGAAAAAAAAAATTTTCTGTCAAGTATGTTACCCTGTCATATTTAATGACATTCATCATGTTCTTATTCATTTACTAACATTTATTTCTAGAGTCACGCAACTTTTTGTTAACTCTATTAAATAAATAAGATCATGAGAAATGTATTTATGATTGGATAGTATGTTATATAAAAGCTACATGTGAAAAAGGTCTCAAAGAATGAAAATAAAGGTACACACTGATAGAAAAGTTTCATGTATCCAGTATTTAGGAGCATGAAATAATTTAACATCCTAATTACTTTTATTACTGTTTCATTAAAAAAAATTTAACTTTTTATCATATACAGGTATAGGTGATGAAAAGAATATACATTACACATGAGCTTTCAACTTAAGAATTGGCACAAGCATATTCAACCTAAACTATAACAAACATAGCTTGATTTTCTTTGATACTCAAAAGACAATTCAGGATTTTACAGAACCTTAAGGCCAGCACTTTAACTAATCATGACTGTACTATACCAATAATGACTGTCATATACATGTGAGAAAAAATTTATACTAGCATAATGTCATGACTTTTGTGAATAAATGCCTGAACTGTACTACTATATAAAAACTGTTAGAGGTCCTGGGGGGTGGGAGAGAGTGTGATTATGCAAACTTTATGGGGGGTGGAGGGGAGTGTGATTATGCAAACTTTATAGATAAGTGGGTTCTCCATAACCAGGAGTTAGTTTGTTATATTTGAGCCTTTAAAGAATAAAATCATACATTTCACACTGAAATTCAATATACACAAAACATGCACATAATATGACTGTTTTTAAATGCTGTCATCCTCTGTCTGTCTACAGAAAATTCCTTTCCCGGAATATCTTAACATGTTGAATATTTAAGGACATAACAATAGAGATTTTTTTAAAAGTCCATTTTGTGAAAAACACTGACTAGTAACAATAACATGAAATAAAAATGTAAGACATACTTACTGTGCCAAATTGCTTCACATTTTGAGCACACTTCTTACAAATTGTATTAGTTTTGCTGAAAAGGAAATTGAATATAGATGATCAAATTTACATAGCTTTCTGAGGTAATTAGCACACTGTCGAACTAAAGCAAATACAGTTTATATTTGACTATTTAGTGGTTCTTAAAATTTCCTCTAATATAGACCAAGGATCTTTTTAGGGATGTCTCTTATACACATTTTCTCTTCTTTCATTAACTTTAGATAAATGATAAATGTTTTTATACATTTTTATTGTGTATCTTTTGGTAAACAAAACAAAACAAAAATCCTAATGTTTCCTATTTAGTTCCAAAATCTTCACATTTGCCACTCTTTATTCACAGCTTTACATCTCAGTGCTTACCTAACCTTCCTCTGGACCTTCTCCACTATTATGATGCCAGTTATCTACTTATGAAGAAATTATTTGTTCTTCTCCTTAGGCTACTACTCACTTAAACATGCCCTGATCTTTTAACAAGAATCAGCCTGTTAAAAAGTATGTGCTGTTCTTCCACTGGTAACAAGTTACTAGATTTCACTTGGAAGATAGTTGGTAACATTATGTCAGCACTAATGTTTTGTCATTTTTTACAGCTTAATAGTAACTTTATATTTGCATTTTTAGTCAGCGAGGCTGCGTATTTTCCATGCAATAATTTATTCTCCATTTCCTCATGTGTAAACTGAAGTCTAGCTGTAAAACAGCCATTAATTATTTGTCAACATGGTCTCTCCCACCACATATAAAAGGTTTACAACTTAAAATTTAAGACACTAAACCATACTTAAGAATACTTTACCACAAATACAGGATTACAACGCCCCCCCCCCCCCCGTTTTTCCTTACAGACAACTGTGTCTTTAACAATCAAAAACTATTTAGTATACAAACCTCTCTTGTTGAAATTCTGATCTGCAGTAAGTACATTTTACAATAGGATGCGCAATCCGACATTCCTGTAATAAGACAATATATTAGTATCTATCTCAAAGTCCCAAATTTCACTTTACTGGTAGAAAATTATTACACAACCTAGTCAAATTCCTAAAACATCAATAATACCTGTCCTCAACGTAAACAATTGAGTAATTTATCATATAAGTGGCCAATTACAGCATATTTTCTTAGGGAAGGTATAGGTGTCTTTGTCTTTATTTGATGTGGGGGGTATGCTACAAATAAGAAAGCTGTCAGGGCCGATTTCAAGGGTTGGTTAAATGTGAAACTACTTAATATTTTGCACCGTTGCTCACAGACAGCATCCCGGCTTTAATGGGATGGGAGGAGCTCCAAATCATAGAGCATTCTGTCCCCAAACCAGTCGCTTCGCTTTCCTGGACAGGGAAGAAAGATGCCATCAGCTTTGCGGCTTCAGGTTCCTAGCAAGAAAGTGCAAAAACCGTCCCCTGCCTCCCGGTGGAAGGAGAGAACAGTCCAGGCAGAAAACCGAGATGAAAACATCTCCACCCCAGGGTCTCTGCGGCATAGACAGGTGCCGCCTCACTCAGCCCCACCCCTGAGACCCCTGAATGTCGGTGGGGCCCGGCCCCCTCCTGGGCGCCTGGAAGAGAACAGAATTTTGTCTTCCTCAGGGGCCCCTCCCACCTGATGCCCACGTCCTCGGATAAAGGGGTCCCGAGTGAGGAGGCAAGAAAGAGCTCAGAGCCCCCAAGGCGCCGGCGAAGAGAGCCGGGCTGCAGTGCAGAGGACACCCAGCTCCCTCGGGCTCTGGCCGAGGAAACCCGCCCGCCCGCCGCCCAGCACCCACGGACCTTGCAGAGCTGCTGGCCCTGGGAGAGCTCCTCGAAGGGATAGCGCTGGGTACACTTGGTGCAGGCGTACAGGGCCGAGGCCGCCATCCTGCTCCTCCTCCACCGCCGCCCGCTCCGAGGCGGGGCCCTACGGGGAACTCGGGCGCCGCCGCCGCCGCCGCCGCCCGGGCCGCGGGCTCCTCCTCCTCCCCCCTCCCCTGCCTCGCGCCCACCAGAGCCTCGCCGCGAAGGTCCGCGGCCCTGCGGTCTGTACCGTCTCCCTCCGCCTCCACTTCCGCCCCCAGCCCTCTCAGTGACGCCGTCCAGGCCGCTCCCGCTTAGGCCCCTATAGCGGCGGAGGAAGACGATGAGGATAGTTCGATGCGGTTTAGCTGCGCGGCAGTGGATCCGCTTCCTTCTCGGCCTCCCTTCCCCATCTCTGATTGGCTGGGAAGGCTACTGCGTCACTCGGTCGCTCCTCCCAACCCCTAACCCCGGCTACGCTGGGAGCTCCCACAAAGGGAGGAAGTTGCTGGCCAATGACGGCCCGACGCTTTCAGCGCGCGAAATCCGCTTCAAACTCGCCCCGCCCAAAGGCCCCCGTAGAGCCTGTATGTAGCAGCCAGTCCCAGGTTTGAGTGAGAAGGCCCCAATGCAATTGGGCAAGTGTTCGTGAAGGTTTACTCTCTGCCTCCGCTCTTTTTTCCCTTGACTTCTATTGGACCAAGTCACCAAAGCCCCTCCACATTCTATTTGTTATTGGTCAAAAGCTAAGTACTTCACCTAGAGAGGCGTCTCCGACTCGAGCTCACGCTCTCTCCGGCGTTTAGTCCAAGGGAACCGATGGAGTGTTTGAACTTCGCACTTGCTTTTATTGTTTCAGTCATTCTATTCCATTGCCACTGGAGACATCACAACCCATGGCCAACATTTCCTCCTCGATGTGGCCCGCCCCTTTGTAGAGTCCCCCTCAGAGCCGTGCGGTAGTCGGCAGCGTTAGCAGCCCCCGCAGTTTCAGCGATGCGCTACCTTGTGACATCAGCGAGGGAAGAGGCGGATTCTCTCCTACTACCGGAAGACGTCCGCTTTTTTGATTGGCTACTCAAGACGTCCGTTAGGACGTGTTGCCTTTTCCGAGTGCACTGTGAGCGTGGGCGCCCCTGTGGGGGGGTGTGCAGGGGTTTCTAGACCCGGCACCAATACCCCAACCCCCTTCCATCAGGGGTTCGGCTTAGGGTCGCCCCTAGTGGGCGGCTCTCGAATCTTGAGGAGGAGCTCGAGAACCCGGACCCCCCCAGGGCTGCGGAGGCCCTCTGGGTAGGCAGGAAGATGGCGGCATCGGTCTCCGCGACTTCTGGTTCTCAGATCTCGGTAAGAAGCGGCTGACGTTCACATAGGCTCGGTCCTGGCGCCTCTTTGCTTTTCCTCACCCTTCAAAGCAGGGGCCCAGAGCCTCACCCGATCCTGGGGAACGGCCGGGAATGCCCCTTGCTTCCCGGACGCTCACTGCTCCTCTGTGGAGGCTGCACCCTCACCTCGAAACAGGCCTGGCCCGTCCATCCCCTCTGCTCCCTTCACCTTCCGGCCTAGCGGCGCAGGTTGCCGAACTTTGCCAGGATTCGCTAGGGTGTCTACCCACGCCCTGCCCTTGAGAAAACAGTGCAGCTCTGGTCACGTGGGTGTAACGGCCCCTCTTGGAAACTCGCCGAGACCAGGTAGGCTCACAAGTTGACTTAATTGGCAGCTGTTGAAGAGTCCTCCGTATCGAGTGCTTACTCGTTGCTGCTTGTGCCTGCAGTGGCTCCCGTCGCATATGCCCAGTGACTTTGTTCTTGCTTGTACCCAGAGCGCGCGCTTTCCGCCTCCGGTGTCACTGTGCAGCGTGTACATGCCGTTCTAGAGAGGCGACAAGGAGAGCTGAACCTAAACATTGTTTTCGCCTCTCGGGGGCTACCAGCCAGTTCAGTCACTACTATTTGTCGAATTGGAATGTCAGCGCATAGTGTTTGGGGATCCGCCACATTGGGAATAGGCAGAAAATGGGGGGAGGCTCAAGTGAGAGCCGTTATATCTTCATTTAGCTAAAGCGGAGTGCCTGGCATATTGGAGGCGCCAAGATTATGCCGGTGAATGAGACAGGATCCTTGCGCTGAAGGAGCAGACACTGGGGAGAAACTGCGTGTAATGAGGCTGTTACGCAGTTCAGTTTGATAAATGCTGCTGTGGTAGAATAACCTAGGCGTGAATGGTTAGCAGTTCTTGGGTGTAAGCTAGAAACAGCCCCTGATCAGTGGAGAAGATGCACCTTTCACTTTTTCATAACTTTACTCATAGTTTTTTTCTTCTGTGGGATACTTGTGTCTTTTGCCTGTCTTTAATCGGTGTGTCTTTTCCTGCTGATTTGTAGTCATTATGTATTCTGGATGTTAATGCTGTATTCTAATTACTCTTTGGCTTGTCTTTCACTTGTCTAAGATCTCTTTTGTTGGGAGCTCCTAATGTTCATGGGGTAAAATTTATTAGTCTTTCCTTTTTCTGTTTAGTGCTTTTGGCTAAGAAATTCTTGTAGCAAAGGCCATTAATGAAATTCTTATGTATTTTTCCTACAAGTTTTAAAGTTGGGGCCTCTTAAGTCCTTAATATGCGTGAAGTTAATTTGTGTGCTGTGAGGTAGGGATCTAGTTTAATGTTTCTACTTAAGATACGCAATTTCTCCAACATTACTTGTTAAATTTATCTTTCCCCAGTGGTTTGCATTTTTAGCTATCAATATATTTCTGTATGTGTATGTTTGTTTTACTGGGCTCTTTGTTCCATGGTTGTATTTGTCTTTCCTTGTATCTATACTCACTGTATTAAGGATTCTCCCTTACATTTCTAAGAGAGTACCTGCCTGTTCCTTGTTCCTTCAAGAAAAGTGTTAGCTATTCTCGATCCTTTGCTGTTCTTTAATAGAAATTATAAAATCTGCTGTCGGAATTTCAACTCAAACTGCATTGAATTTCCAGTTCAGTTTGGTAATAACCAATGCCTTTAAGATATTGAGTCTTGTGTCTTGTTATTCCAGTTTTTTTTAACTTTAACATTTTTCAGTAAAATTTTATAATTTCAGGTCTTGTATATCATTTATTAAATTTATTTTTAGTTTATTTTTTATGTATTTTCATAAGTTGTGTTTTCTAACTGTTATACAGAACTGTTATACATTCTTTCATATTAATTTTACTCAGCAATTTGTCCTAAACTCTAATTCTAATAATTGAGGATTCTTTGGTATTTTCTATTTAGATGATCATAACCTGTGAAATTTTACAATCTTAGCATTTATTACTTCCTTTCATTATCTTAATATGCAGGCTATGAAATGCCGCACAACTTTGACTAGAAGTTGCCTTGCAGATTTCTTTGCCTTGTTCCTGAATTTAAAAGGAATGTTTTAAATTTGTACCATTAAATATGTTGTCATGTTTTTTGGTAAATTTTCTTATTACTGTAAGAAAATAGTTCTTTAATAATGGCTGGATACTGAATTTTATTGATTACTTTTTTGCATTTGTTGATCATATGGATTTTCACATTAAAGTGAAATGGGTGTTCTAATGTTCATTCAGTTTTAAACATTCCTGGAATAACCCCATTTTGAACATACTGTATTATTTTTTCTATATAGTTGAGTATGTATGGTTTGCTAAATTGTATTTAAGTTTTTATATACCGGATTTCTTCAAGCCATGTTGCTCATCCCATTTGAAAAGAAGGCAAATAATACACATTTCTTATCATCCTTCATACTTAATGCAGTGCCATACACAGATATGTTCAATAAATACTTGAATCATAAGTGTTCCTAAGAAGGAACTAAAGTTACCAGGGAAGAAAGTGGTCACGTAAAACATTTTGCCTTCAATCCTGAAAGTCTCTCTTAGAATCATATCATTTTAGTTGGAAAAATATTTATTGAATGCTTGGGGTCTTGGAAAGCATACTAATTAGGAGTTATACTCAGGCCCCTTAATAGCTGTGAGACCTTAAGCAAATGGTTTAAGTTTTCTTAGCCTGTTTTTTTCACCTACAAAATGGAGACAATAATATTTGCTATGCTTCCTTCAGTGGTTCTTGTAATAACTAAAGGAGAATATGAGTATGCTTGGAAAAAATATGTTGACAAATCTGAGTTCAGTGTTCTGAAAAATCCCAAATACATTTTTCTGAACTCTAAAGTGAAGATACTTTCTTACTTGTCAGGATTGTTGTGAGGATCAACTAAGATAAAGGAAATGTAAATTGTAAAGTACCATGCAAATTTGAGGTTTGTGGTGGTTTTTATTTTGCATATGTATATATTGCATGTATATGGGGGGGGGCCTAATTCTGCTTGAAAGATCCTTTGCCCTTCAGTAGTTCTCAGGTACCCATGATTGAATGGCATGTGGCACTGAAAGCAAGAAGAATTCACTTGACAAAAGAAGAAATCTTTCGTCATCTCAGATGGCTGCTATCTTTTTTTTTTTTTTTTTAAGATTTTATTTATTTATTTGAGAGAGAGAGAATGAGAGAGAGCAAGCACATGAGAGGGGGGAGGGTCAGAGGGAGAAGCAGACCCCCCGCCGAGCAGGGAGCCCGATGCGGGACTCGATCCAGGGACTCCAGGATCATGACCTGAGCCGAAGGCAGTCGCTTAACCAACTGAGCCACCCAGGCACCCGAGATGGCTGCTATCTTGAGAAAGGTCTGTTGGCAGGGTTAGCTCTTGATAGGCAGCTGTGGACTTAAATGGTAAACAATTTCATACACTAATATAAAACTTTAAATGATGAGTACCTCACTCTGCCTAAACTGTGTGTAAAGTGTGGTTTATGCTGAACACCAGCTTTCTTTCTGGGAGTCAGGAATGTAACCAGTCCCCAGTGAAAACCTTGGCCACTGAGTCTAAGGAGCCTTGATAAAAACACTTCACAACAGTTGTGGCTATTAGTTGCTGGAGGAATTAAGCATATCCTGTAAGCAGCTAGAGAGGAATTTTGAAAGCTTGTGCCTGATACCTTACAGACTTCACCTCCATGGGTCTTTTGCTTTTGCTATTTTGCTTTGTATCCCTTTGCTGTAATAAATCCCAGAGATGAGTATAACTATATGCTCAGTCCTATCAGTCCTTCTAGCAAATCATCGAACCTTGGGCTGGTCCGGAGGACTGCTGACAGTCACGATGACAGTAGTTGGAACATTCCCAAAATTCAAGTTACCA